GCACTGGATTGAACCACTGGTGGCAACTTTACAACACCCTGCGAGCCATTGCGCCTGAGCGAACCGTTGGGTGCCGGTGGGACCGTGGGGGACCGGGGGAAACTGAACCGACAGCGAGGCGAAATGGTCGCCAATCAATATGGAAATTTCTGAAAATACCACCAGATCCAAAATTAAAGCGTTGTAAACCCATGGTTTTGGGGATGCTCCATGTGCGTCCATGTGAAAAAGACATAAAAAGGCCCCATATGTATTTGTTTTCTTTTCAGGTTCGAAAATCATGAAATTTTTGGCATCGCCTTCTCACTTTCTGACGGCAGTTTCTCAGGTCAAAACATGTGGCCAGAAAACTTCAGAGACTTGGCCGCATGGATGACAAGAACATCAGGAACCTCCTGTGAGATGCACCAGCGCTAGGTCCCTTAACCTTTTAGATCCTTCTAGCCTTTGCCAATATGGGTTAATCATGGGGGGAAAAAGGGGATACCTATGGAATATAATGGAAGATTGCGAAATAGTTGGTTGAATGAATGATGAATTTTAGCCTTTGATGTCATCAAACATGGCTGGAAAAAAACCGAACTAGATTCCTAGATGGACATTTAAATGGGATTTGCCATGGAAAACCATCGAACTAAATGGGGGATTTGCACACAGCCTTCATGCTGCACTTGAGCACTGGACTCCATAGATGCACTCAGATGCACTCAGGACATCTTGAGAGCAGGGGATACCTTCTGCTTTCTCGAAATGACTGGCTAGCCGATCCCGGCCAACGCATTCTCTTTGATGCTGGTGTGACCTGATTGCATCCGACTGTTTTGGATCACCCAGTAGCGCAACATACCAAGGAAAAACCCCAAAACATAGAAAAGCATAGTGATGAAGACCAAAACACCTGGGGCATCATCACAAACATCCAATTGTGAAGTTTCAAGTACTGTAGTTAGCTTGGAGTTACAGTTCATTGATTTTTGTGTCAGGTGAGCACCTACAAAAACTCCACGAGTTGGCTATTTCAATCCTACAGCAGGCGGAGCTTGTGCTCCTGGGGCGGTAGTTGTGAAGAGACTTGCAAGAATAGGATACCCCAATTTATTGCCTTTAAGTCATGCAAAGAATGAGATTCTATATTCTAAACCATCGAAGGTTGGTTCGTTTCCAGATGGGGATGGGTCAAACCCTATCACACCATATTTTGAAGGGACGAACATCCATAACAGCCATCATTTTCCCATGTTTTTCCCATGGTTCACCAGGCCCATAGCCAGATAACTGATGAGAATCCAGCGGTTTCTGGCAGGAATGGCATTGTTTTTGATCGCATCTTCGGCTGGGAACCTGTGTCACAATCAAGTCTTCAGCCAGAGGAAAGAAAGAGGTTTGATGTGGGAACCCACCAAAAAAACTATATATATATATATAGATAGATTTAATGATATATATATATATATATGTATAATGATATATACATAACTATATATATATATTATAATACAGTAATAATACAGTAATATATATATATATACACACCATTTGGGCAGACAGTGGGTTTACCACATTAACAGTAGAAGTGGAGCAGCCCCTTCTCCAGGGTCGGGTCCCCAAGGTTCCTGGCGTTCCCAAGTTCTCAGTACTTCTCTATGGTCCTCTAAAGAAATATTGCAAGGCTCGTGGACTCAAAGGAACCCAGTAACTTCAGGAACCCGTATGGACACTTAATGACACTTATATTTTGTCTATTATGGGGAAAACAATGTTTGACATGTTTTGCCCGTAACGACGTTTTTTTGTTCGATTCAAATGCGTATTTGAGTTTTCGATTGAGGGTTGTTCTCTTGCTTTGTCAGCCCTGGGTTCCGATAGAGTAACTTCAGACCAAAATGGGACAAATTGGGAGTCATGATAGGGGGTCCAAATCCTTCCCCAAATGCTGCTATATTTGCCACCAAAGTTGTGTGCATCCATAGAACCTCAATAACCATGTTTCAACATACTGGCCCAAATATTGCCTCTACATAAGAAACATAAGAAACTCAGACTTTCGGAACCAGTCCGATATTTCAGGAAAACAGTTGCAGAGACAAGACACATTGCCTTTATGGTTTTCCCGGAAGATAGTTACACAAGGTTCTGAGTTTCTGGCACTCTGTGTCTGTATCTTTCCTCCAGCCATTAAAATGGCCTATGGTTCAGTAGAGTTTCCAAGCTTTATAAACAGTTGAAGGCTGCCCAAGTTTGCCAGACGAAGGTTCCAAGGTTCCCCGAAGTGTCCCAAACATTATGAAGTTCCAAATTTCTTGGTTTTATTTCCAAGGTACTTGGATTGTAACAATTGTAGCTTACCTAGAACGGTGTCGATCTCTCATCCGTTCACTCATGTTTTCTCTCATTAAATGCTTCAACTTCTTGCACTCACTCTCACCATTTCTTGGCAAACATTTCTCTGTCCGGAATGTTTGACACATGGTTCTCAGCGGCCCTTCTTTCATCAGGTAGAGAATATCACATCATCTTAAGACATCTTAAGATCTTGTAAGGAAGTCCTTGGCTGCCTTTTTGCAGGTACCATGTCTCGCAATCGAAGACTGATTGGTTGCGTATTGGTCCATGTTGTTCATTTTGGTCGCTGGAAAAGAGCAAACAAGTCCTTAGAAGCGGTTGCCCAGTCTACATTATAATTTCGGGAATTCCTTCGCGAACCATTTCGGATAATTCCAATAATCGGCTGTGGGGACCTTAGAACGGTCAAATTGCTGCATCGTCGTGCATGGTAAAACTGACAAGTAACTCTTTCCTTGGGCATGGTACTATATAAAGTAAAAGTGCTCAAAATGAAAATAATGTTGTAAACCCAATAATGAAGCTACCACTTGATGACCACTTGGGGATAGTCTTTGCAACCTATTTATGGTGATTTTGGGGGTGATTTATGACATTGGGTTTACGTTTATGTTTTACTTGTCTCCCCTTTTAGTGTGAATCAGGTCCAACCTCATCCAATTTGGACTTCAGCACCATTTTACCATGCTACCTTTTTACGCTAAAATACTGCTTGTATAGATCCAGATTTGTACTTTCACAATTTTGCTGCTTAGTATGGTGAGCTGGACCTTCTATCAGAAACAATTTCCACGATCCGGCTAAGCGGACCTTCATTGCTCAAGTTTTTGGGCAGGCTGGCTTTTGCTGGTAAAAATGCTACCATTGATCCATAGCTGATTTTGGAAAAGTGCTCTTCCCGATTTTCGTTGATTCCTGTATTTTGCACTAGTCTTTCAATGTCCTTTGGGGCGGTCTTCGGTTGGAATCGTTAGGCAATCTCAGGCATGTTTGCCAAGACAACTTTGGAGTTTCATTGGCTGGGGCTCTTGGCAAGTGTTTTTCACCAGTTTTATACTGATTGCTTTTCGGAAACTCTGACGCTGCTATTTTGGCGAGGAATCTCCTGGCTTTTTGGGTGTATCATGCCGAAGGGGCAGGTTGTAGCACGATGTCAGTATGAATTCCTGGCTCCCTGAGGAAATGCAGCTGGAGGGTCACGAGCAGATCCCTTTACATGTTTTACAGCAATCAAGCTTCTCCACTGATCCCGTCCCCAGTCAGCCATTGGTTTTGACAGATTCACGTGCCCATAGGACCAGTCATGCTGGATTGAGAGGATGGGAAAGCATGGAAAGCATTGGAACACTGATCAATTCCTTACTGCGGGCTTGAGGATCAAAGAATGACACGCCCAAACATACCGGCAAGGATCCTTTAGGTTTGGCATGAAAGAAGAGGCGTTTTGTGTCACGACTTTTCAGAGTAGCTTTTGTTCTAGTTTTGAAATGTCGTTACCGGGGGCTTGCAGTGCAGGTCGCTCAACTGAGGTGGTGTCAACCAAAGACGGTCATTCAGCTACTGCGAACCCCGTGCAGCTCATTTCGCAACTGTGCCAGCCGGAGGATTTCTGTGTAGCTCGGCCATGAGATACATGGAGATGCTGCGGTTTGAAAGAAGCACCCGCAACAGAAGGGTAACAATTTGTCCCCACCATGGCAACAAGAAATATACTGGTTGGTGGTTTGGAACATGGCTTTTATTTTTCCATATATTGGGAATGTCATCATCCCATTTGACTATATTATATTTTTCAGAGGGGTAGGAGAACATGCTTTAATGGTATATGTTTTCGCATCACAGTCATAATCACTGAGTTTTTTACATCCAATGACGCCCTTTGCGCGTGTTCATTTTCGAGTTCCGTTGTGCTTCCGTTGTGCCAAAAGGTCTTCAAGTTGGACATCAACCGATCTGTCACCGAGAGAGAACTCGTTGATCAACTCCTGGAAGGTCCTGTCTCCCAAGGCACGGCGAAACAAGCGCCGTCTTTCAGATGGTTTTCGCTGCTGCAAGGAGTTACACATAAGAGATATAAAAAGGGATATGAAGAGTCTCTCCAGAGTTTGTGATGTTACGTTAATTTTCGATTGTCCAGTTGCTGTTTTTTTTGTGTCAGTTTCATCCCATATCTCAGTTTCCGTTGCGTCAGGACTCCTGGATGAGTTCTTTTGGAAAGACCAGGTCGAGATGCCTCACTTTGGCCACTCGATAGTGCTGTGAGTTTTTTGTGGAAAAATTACACGGAAGTTTCACAGATACACACCATGCAGGTGTTTGGGTTGCGGGTCAGCCCCCATCAACCAGCCAGGAAATAAGATATGTAGGACGGACTGCATGTAGAATATACGGATACAAGATGATCATGATGATACAAGTACATGCATACACGCACGCACACACACAAGTAAGTATGTGCATATAGATTTATACAAATATAATATGTATAGAATCAGTTAGAATGATAGAGACATAAATATGCCCAATTTTGAAGTGCACCAGCGTGCCCATGTTCTGTGCACTCAGGCCTCTCCGGCAGCGGATCCTTACAGCAGAGCTATCATCGTTTCCTAAGACTGCGAAACCATGGAGTTCGTGCTCACTCATGGCCCTGAGGTGTGTGTGTCAAAAAGCTTGGATTTATGGAAGTGTTGATGTTCTTCCCCTCCAAAAAGCAATTTCGATGGATTTTGATGCAGAGCCCCTTAGCCTCAGTGAACTTCGATGGGGATGAGATGGGAGGAGTCAAAATTTATGATGGAATGCTGGTGTAAGTTTCAATGGTACATGCTAAAGTACCCAGATAGATGAGTATGTCAAAACAACGAACTTTCCCTACATGTACCGGAACGGAAAGCAAGATATTCGCCTTTCTTTGGTTTTCGAGATAAGAGAAGCTATGACATGCCATTACGCTTTCTTTAGGATTTTGTTCTTAATGTATTTCGTGGACTATGGAAGAGATATGTGCAAGTAATGTCATGAAGAGTCATGAAGCAATGATAAGCAATTCAGACCCATCTTATCTGGATCTTCCACCACTCAACCTCAGGAAACCGGTACCAAAACAGACAAGTTTGGGAAATCCACTTGACAAGTTTGGGACTTCCGCTGGACGTATGCTTTTTTTGTTCCTTGAAATGCAAGTTAGAATTTGGCATGTTTTTCAGACCTTGCTCATAGGAAGAGCTTTCATGCTATTTTCAATCAACTTTAGAGCATCCTTATTTATTGACAACAATTTTGGGGTACCCTCTGGTAATTTAACATAGCTATGGAAAATCACAATTTTTAATGGGAAAACTCCCTATAAATGGCCATTTTCAATAGCTATGTTAGTTTACCAGAGGTTAATCCAATAGCTTCCGGTGTCATCATGGCAGTGGGACATCCACCATTTAGTTCGATGATGTTCCAAACGCGTTCGCTAAACCTCTACAGGGATTGGAAAAAATTGCCACGTTTGATTACCCTTGCGTATATCAAATGAAATTTGGAAGGCAACATTTGGGAAGGCAAGTTGGAAGACTCATTTGACTCATAGAATACTATTCTTTGGGTAGTCCACAGCAATCTGACACTTTTTTTCTCATGCAATACCTATTTTTTACATGGAAATGGGCGGAATTCCCTTTAGGGTTTGAATATGTTTGAATCAGACTGTTTAGAAATAGTAATCTGTAATACTGTTTACTTTATTAGCTAAGGAAGGCATTACAGTTACAATAATTAATATAATTTTGATTCTGAGCATTGCACAGTTTAGCAATGTTTTCGTGTTACATTTTGCCAACGCACCAGGTACCCAAAGTCATCCCAAATCCAAAAGAAAACCATTCAATACAGACGGCAAAGGACGTCAACAAATAACAATAAATAAAGAATCAATATTAAACTATTCATCTACACACCGTTCTGATATGTATATATATATAAGTATATATAAGTATATATATAAGTATATATATATATATATGTAAGAGAGACCTTTCTGTACTATTTGACGGCCTTACTAATCTGCATTCTAAAGAAAATAAAGTAAATAAAGATTGATTTTCTTGATTTACTTTTTGAGGCTCCCGGAAAATAAAGAAAATACAGAAAATAAAGATTTATTCTCTTTATTTTCTTTATTTACTTTTTGAGGCTCCCGGAAAATAGAGAAAATAAGGAAAATAAAGATTTATTTTCTGTATTTTCTTTATTTACTTTTTGAGGCTCCTGGAAAATAAAGAAAATAAATCTTTATTTTATTTATTTTCTTTATTTACTTTTTGAGGCTCTTGGAAAATAAAGAAAATAAAGATTTATTTTCTTTATTTTCTTTATTAACTTTTCCAGGTGTCCAGCAGGATGAAAACTAAAGAAAATAAGGATTTATTTTCTTTTTTTTCTTTATTTACTTTTTGAGGCTCCCGGAAAATAAAGAAAATAAAGAAAATAAAGATTTATTTTCTTTATTTTATTTATTTACTTTTTGAGGCTCCTGGAAAATAAAGAAAATAAAGAAAATAAAGAAAATAAATCTTTATTTTCTTTATTTTCTTTTTTTTACTTTTTGAGGATTCTGGAAAATAAAGAAATTAAAGAAAATAAAGATTTATTCTCATTATTTTCTTTATTTACTTTTTGAGGCTCCTGGAAAGTAAAGAAAATAAATCTTTATTTTCTTTATTTTCTTTATTTACTTTTTGAGGCTTCCGGAAAATAAAGAAAGTAAAGATTTATTTTCTTTATTTTCTTTATTTTCTTTATTTACTTTTTGAGGCTCCCGGAAAATAAAGAAAATAAAGAAAATAAATCTTTATTTTCTTTATTTTCTTTATTTGCTTTTTGAGGCTCTTGGAAAATAAAGAAGATAAAGAAAATAAAGATTTATTTTCTTTATTTTCTTTATTTTCTTTATTAACTTTTCCAGGTGTCCAGCAGGATGAAAACTAAAGAAAATAAAGATTTATTTTCTTTATTTTCTTTATTTACTTTTTGAGGCTCCTGGAAAATAAGGAAAATAAAGAAAATAAATCTTTATTCTCTTTAATTTCCATCCTGCTGAACACCTCGAAAAGTTAATAAAGAAAATAAAGAAAATAAAGATTTATTTTCTTTATTTTCTTTATTTACTTTTTGAGGCTTCCGGAAAATAAAGAAAATAAAGAAAATAAATCTTTATTTTCTTGATTTTCTTTATTTACTTTTTGAGGCTCTTGGAAAATAAAGAAAATAAAGATTTATTTTCTTTATTTTCTTTATTTTCTTTATTTTCTTTATTAACTTTTCCAGGTGTCCAGCCGGATGAAATTATGGGAAAACATATATTTCCCTTATTATGTTTGTTATTTTTTTGAAGCGTTGGGAACATAAAGAAAATCAATAGTTTTGGCCCTTGCGCCTTTTTGTTGGTGGCCTTAGTGCCTTTGGTTTCCTTTATGTTTCTGGCCCTCGCGCCTTTCTGTTTCTGGCCCTCGCGCCCTTCTGTTTCTGGCCGTCCCGCCTTTCTGTTTCTGGCCCTCGCGCCTTTCTGTTTCTGGCCCTCGCGCCTTTATGTTTCTGGCCCTTGCGCCTGTTTCTGGCCCGTGCGCCTGTTCCTGGCCCTCGCGCCTGTTTCTGGCCCTTGCGCCTGTTTCTGGCCTTCGCGCCTTCTTGTTTCTGGCCCTGGCGCCTTCTTGTTTCTGGCCCTCGCGCCTTGCTTCTTCTGGCCCTCGCGCCTTTATGTTTCTGGCCCTCGCGCCTTTGTGTTTCTGGCCCTTGCGCCTGTTTCTGGCCCATGCGCCTGTTTCTGGCCCTCGCGCCTTGTTGCTTCTGGCCCTCGCGCCTTGCTTCTTCTGGCCCTCGCGCCTTGTTGCTCCTGGCCCTCGCGCCTTTGTGTTTCTGGCCCTCGCACCTTACTGTTTCTGTCCCTTGCGCCTGTCTCTGGCCCTCGCACCTTTGTGTTTCCGGCCCTCATGCCTTTATGTTTCTGGCCCTTGTGTCTGTTTCTGGCCCTCGCGCCTTCTTGTTTCTGGCCCTTGCGCCTTGCTTTTTCTGGCCCTCGCGCCTTGTTGCTTCTGGCCCTCGCGCCTTTGTGTTTCTGGCCCTCGCACCTTTATGTTTCTGGCCCTTGGGCCTAAATGTTTCTGGCCTTTGCGCCTTCGCTTCTACACTTCGCGTCTTGGCTTCTGGCCTACGCGGCTCAGTTTCTTTGATTTCTGGTTTTCGAGCCTTTGCTTCTGACTTGTGACCATTTGTTTCTAGCCTTCGCGCCTTGCTTGGTTTCTGGCCTTTACGCCCTGACCTCCAGTGTCACGTTTTGTTTTCGGGGCTTGATGTCTTCTTCCCCACCTGCCAGTAAGAGTTATTGGATTTTATAACAGCTGTCCTTCTCCTTCTCCTCGTCGTCCTCGTCCTCGTCCTCGTCGCCAGCATATCGCAGTGGGCACTGCCGGACTTCATGTGCCAGCTCCAGATCGCAGTGGGCACTGCCGGGCTTCATGTGCCAGCTCCAGATCGCAGTGGGCACTGCCGGACTTCATGTGCCAGCTCCAGATCGCAGTGGGCACGGCCGGGCTTCATGTGCCAGCTCCAGATCGGATTGGGCACTGCCGGGCTTCATGTGCCAGCTCCAGATCGCAGTGGGCACTGCCGGACTTCATGTGCCAGCTCCAGATCGCAGTGGGCACGGCCGGACTTCATGTGCCAGCTCCAGATCGCAGTGGGCATTGCCGGGCTTCATGTGCCAGCTCCAGATCGCAGTGGGCACGGCCGGACTTCATGTGCCAGCTCCAGATCGCAGTGGGCATTGCCGGGCTTCATCTGCCAGCAACAGATCGCAGTGGGCTCTGCCGGACTTCATCTGCCAGCTCCAGATCGCAGTGGGCTCTAGCAACAGATCGCAGTGGGCACTGCCGGTCTTCAGGTAGAATGTCAGAATAAATGTCAGATAGAATGCCAAACTAGATGCCAGATAGAATGTCAGATAGAATGCCAAATAGAATGTCAGAATCTATGTCAGATCGAATGCCAAACTAGATGCCAGATAGAATGTCAGATAGAATGTCAGAATATACGTAAGATACAATGTCAGAAAGAATGTCAAAATGTTGAATATATATCTATATGTGCCATGGTAGGGATCACTCAAAGTAAAGTAATTAATCTTCGTAGCTTTTGGCCTTAAAGTCAATTTCCTCTATTCTTGTGTAGGTCTCTCTTATTATAAATTATATGGGATATTCTGCGTGTACCTTGGCATCTTCATTGACGTACGAACCCACCAGAGTGCCCAAGCTTTCAGGGATTAGACTGTGACCATGAAGCCAGAAACACATTGGTTGCAGGGAAGCAAGAATCAACGAACCGCCGGAATGGGCTCAGAACCTGCGCGGACGCTTTTCCCCCCTGCGAGCCGCACCGCTGATCCCTTGGCCCTTCGCGCCATGCAACTTGGTGACCTGTGCTACTATCACGATTCGCAGAATCGCCAGCAGCAATGTTGCATCTGGAGCGTGCGCCTGGATGGAATGTGTCAAATCGGCAGCAGTTCTTTGCCTGCAAGAATATTTTCTCAGCTGTGAGAATCATTTCATTCACGAACCATCTGGTCTAGTTGCAGGGTGTCTACGTGCTGACCACTACTAGCTCTCGCCATTGTCGACTTCTTTTTGCACCCCACAAACTTCTCAATTACAGGAAACCACAGATGCAAGACCATCGATTCTTTTGTACCACATAAGTGTATATTTTGGGACCCACCATTGAATTCCAATAGTTTTATCATTATTGCGTGTTGTGTAGAGAATATAGTTGGTTGATAGCGTCTTGGGTTTTCTATTTCTTGTTTAGGTTCTGTTATATTCTGGTGTTGTATCAACATTGGGAAGGGGATCTGGATCTAAAACCTGTTGACCTACAAAGAAACAGTTTGACCTTTCAGCGCGCTGTGGTCAAGAATGCTTTGAGCCGCATCAGAAACGCCCACAAAATAACAATACCCAATGAAAAAATTGGCAAGCTACCTTCAGTTTTTGGGAATGTGAAGATGTATGCCAAAGACATACTTTATTTAACCAATGGTGTTTTTGGCCGTTGCCGACATGCCACCATGTGTTGTGTATCTTTGTGTTTCCTGATGTGCGTGACTGTTGCTGCAGGCCGGTTTGACCGTCCGTCGACGGAGCATTGGATCCCAACATCCCGTCTGGTACGCTTGGATTCCTCGCCATTTGGACCGGTGGGAGCAGTCGAACCGCTCACGAAAGCCAATGTCCGTGCCCACACAGTCGCTTCTGCTGGTGCCCCGACCGTGGCACCTCGTCACGGCATCTTTGCGAGGTTCCCCTATATCCCATCACCGAACCCTTTAAAAGGAGTTGTTAACAATGAGCCCGGTAAACTGGCTAGTTGAAAGATGATGTGTATATAAATATTTATCATACAGCTCTAGATGCTCTCATTGATCCCTGACGACATTTTCTGGGTACTCTACACCCTCTCACCCTAGACAATGGATAAATTTGCAATTCCAACTACATGATGCGTTACATCATGTGACCATTTTCCAAGGATCTTTCAGTCAGGACCCCTGTCGTCCATGGTCCCACCCAAATGGAAGTAGCTAGTTCAAAAAATCATGGTACATGCAAGTGATGAAGAAGGTGCAACTGATAATAAGCTGGCTTGATATGCAACTGAAGTGGATCATGCAGGACGCCTTTCCACAAGCATCATTGCTTCGAACCCCTAAGTTCAACGGATGCTTTCTCGTAACCTCCGGTCTGCACTTGCCCCCGCCAAAACTTTATTCCTTAAATCTAAAAGATGGCTTTGTTATTATAGCCAAGTGATCAGCCATAAACTATAAATAGAAATAAAAACAAAAATATCAAAACCGTTGGGATAAACTCACCACTCTGACAAACTCACACTCACCATTCATGTTGTGCCACAGTTGTGACATTTTTTCGCCGTGCTCAGGTAAGCGCGGCCACGGTCATCAATGGTGATCAACGGAGCAGAAGCCCGAAAAGCCGGGCACCGTTTCGTGAGCGCCGCTGCCGGGTGAAGGTCACTGTCAACGACACGGTCGAAGAGGCGCTCAAGCGCGCCGAATTTTATGGTGTCCTGGCTTTGAAATTGTTTGCCCCTGGCTTGGCTTTTTTGGCAATAAAGCGGCCAACGATAGCAAAACGCACGAACATATACAAGGTGTGTACATGGTGAAATCTTGAAATGACGACATACAACCTAACATATAGTTTCTATGATTCTTCGCCTGATCAGGGATGTTCTTCTTCCTAACCTGACAACTAATATCAATATTTTACAGAAATAAACCTATAGCTGGATTAGAACTTACACGCAATTGCAATTTGAATTTGACACCCCTGTGACAAGGAATTGGTTTCTTTCAATTTGTTTTTGATCTGGGCCCAAACTCAAGTAAGAGAAAACTAGAGACTTCAACCGAAATGCGCCTGCATGAAGTCTTGAAGGGACATCCATGTGCTTTTTTGGGCGGATCGAGACACGTGTCGGTCAACAAATTATATAGGCTTAAACAGAAGAAATGTGGTTTCATTTGGTTTAACAATCTTGAGATTGGATGTATACTTATTGTTGTAGTAAATGCCCATCATTACTGGTCCCGCAAAGTAGAAGATACCATACTGAACGAGGGAGGGTTCGTTTAGGGAAAACTTTAAATTCGAAGATGTGATTACAGCCACAGATGTAGATTTCTATCTGGTGCTGATTCTGTATGCGTGTCTTTTTGTTGGATGGCAGCCCCTCTAGCCACTGGGTAAACAGCAATCAAGTTTGTCGAATTGTTATGCTATCATAAAGTACCAGTTTTTATCTTCCAAGCCGCTGAAGAACTCGCTGTAAATTTACTTGTTTATTCGCTATTTTTGTTGAACTACGATGATATATCTGGCAAGTAGCCAACGCAAGCTTGAAGGAAGTTTCCAACGCACGCTGCTGCAGGCACAGTGAAGAGCCATTTTCAGGAGGAGGGCTCCCTTTATGTTCGCTTTCTTCATACCAATTCCGCGCAGAAGGCAGTTTCCACATGGAAGGGGGCCCAATGGGCCTGATCAGCCACAGCACACGTGCTACACCTTGAGGTGGCCACTTTAAATCCCCAACCCCCATGAAATTATCTCATCTATGGCATTATGGAAATCTTTCAATAGGATAAAATGTTCCATTCCCGTCACATAATTACATCGTTTGAAGATTAGAAATCGTCAAACCATCACATTGATTAACGGTTTTCAAGCGAAGGGAACATAATGGTTTGGACCCACTTCTCGCTTCATATAACGGCATGGCATAGATTAAATCATTTACCACCACCAAACTATTGCCTTGATTGGGCAAATTCAGTGCAAAGGGTGGCACAAGTGCTGATGAGACTTTTTCCGCAGTGGCATTAGCCATTTCCAGCTTTACGCCATTTGTGGCTAGAGCTATGGGAGCAACCGTGTAAGATCTCCATTTGCAACCGACTGAAAGATTTGAAGAGCGTGGCAAAGGATGTGCGCTGCGTCTGATCTTGTTTCATTACTACAGGTTGGTGCCCTCCAGTTCCAGTTCGCTTTTTACACCCCCAAAAGGTATAGATATGTACAATAAACGTGAGTCATTGGAATTGAAAGCGAACTTAAGTATCTGTGGGGCAGCACCTTGTATGGTGTTCGAATCACTGGAAGGAACTTGTCCCATGCCAATCTCCAAATTCATTGGGTAAACGCACATGTTCACAAGCTAGCACATTCTTATTGCAAATGTACGTAAAGCATGCGCATAGTGCTTGGCAGGTGTAAATAAGGGATGACCCACAACAAATACACAATGGTTTAATGCTTCGTTTCTGATTCTTACTCAAAGACGCTACTTTACGAATACGTGTTGGAACAAAGTGGGTGAGCCACAGCTGGCGTCCTTCAAACTTTCCATCCCTCCCTTCCCTGAAAAGAAGCTATAAGCCTGTTCCATTTATGGGCGGGCTGGTGTTCTTCATGTGGGTCCATGCGCGTTACTCAACGAATACGTGTTGCAAAAAGGTGGGTGAGCCGCGGCCGGCTTCCTGCAAACTAGCCCTCCTTCCCGGACTCCCTTTTGTGCAACTCTTGGGTGAAAAGATCGGAAGCCCAGTGCCATGGTACAGGAGCTAAAGCTGTCTCATTTAGGGGCAGCTGGTGCCCCTTCATGTGGGCGGGTTCTGATTCGTTTCTAGTCCTTGCGCAGAGACCTTACTCAACGAATACCTGTTGGAACAAGGTGGGCGAGCCACAGCTGGCGTCCTTCAAACTTTCCATCTCTCCTTTCCCTGAAAAGGAGCTATAAGCCTGTTCCATTTATGGGCGGGCTGGTGTTCCTTCATCTGCGTCCATGCACGGTACTGAACGAATACGTGTTGGAACAAGGTGGGTGAGCCGCAGCCGGCTTCCTGCAAGCTTTCCCTCCCTCCCGGACTCCCTCCCCTGCAACTCTTGGGTGAAAGGATCTGAAGCCCAGCGCCATGTAAAGGAGCTAAGGCTGTCCCATTTAGGGGCAGCCGGTGCCCCTTCATGTGAGTCGTGGAGTGATCAAGTCCCTGAGGTGCTATGATTCGTTTTCAGCCCTTGCGCAGAAACGTTGCTCAACGAATAGTCTTGTGCCTTGGTAGAGGAGCCAAACCAGTCCCATGCTTCTGCCCCATCCTGTTTCCACTAATGCTTGCAACAAATGATCCAGAGAGCTAGATGACTTATTATTGCAGAGAGGAGCTGAGCTACTCATCCCAAATATGCTTCGGATTGAGCTTTCAAGTTCGTGGTGAAAGTCTATATTAGGAAAAAAAGACTTTTCATCCCGTCTTCATCAAACTAATTCACAGAAAAGTAGAAGTGCCATTGTCGAACTCAATGCGACTTACTTAGATACTTGGACGGAAACCTATCCTCCAAACTGGGTGCTGGAAGGCAGCATTTGAGCTTTGCAAGCACTGATGCTAGTGCTTTCTCGTCGGACATGAGGCTACTACGCCGTCCATGACCGCCACCTGCGGAGATGACATATATTCAGCCAACGGCGAATATGTCAGTCTGCACCTCAGCTTGGTTGGGCTGCGCCTACAAAGAGCATTTGCCAAATGGTTGTTCTGATGCACGTCTCTTCACAGTTCCTTTCTGAGACAATCCTACTTGACCCTGCAGCGCAATTTTTGTTCAAGCAATTTGCTGTATCCGCGCCCTCTTTTCTTCAGGCGGTCCTTGCTTGCAACCTTTCTTCCAACAATTTTGTCTAGTCATGGCTCCTGCAGCAGCACATCAAACATGTGATGCTGCGAAGGCTCCTGAAATCGCCATGCCCTTTTTCTACCAGTTGGATGACTACCGTTTTTGCAGGCCTTGGGCCCATTTTTGCTGTCATCTTTGCTGTGTCATTCTCCACGCATCTTTCCAACCTGTCAGGATCATGTCCTGTGCCGACGCGATGGAAGACGAACTTGTGGCGGAATCAGAGCTGACATCTTAGTTGCCGCTTGTACAGATTGAATCCAGATGCCTGCCCGTTTCGTGGCCCATGCACGAGTGGCAACATCTTCAGAATTGTGATGTGCGTTCTCAGGTTTGACTTGGATACGACCATGGAGCCACTCGAGCAAGCCGCCATGCGGTCGTCCGTGCCTCTACATCTCTTGCGGTATGCTGAGTTTGCCTCGTTGTCTAGGGAAGACAGCCGTCCAAAATACGATTCAAGGTCTGACACCAGTGAAAATTTTGGCAGCGACATCGAGTTGACATCCTTCCGGTGCTGAGCTGAACATACACTGTCCCACTGCCATCATTGTGTCGATACCCATGCACACATTCATGCCATGAAGTTTTCAGCTTTACGTGATGTATGCTCAAACTCATCATACATGACTGTTGTGCCGTAGGTCCCTCCAGCCTTTGTCGCGGAGACAAAGGCGGAGGCGTTATGAGGAGCGCTATTGGGACAACGTGTGCATCAACGCTCTCAAGAAGCTGGAGCGCCGGAAAGCACGCAAAGAGCGTGCAGAGGAAGCGATTTTTGAGGAGTACAAAGCCGTTGTCGCCAAAGAGCTTGAAGCTCAGCCTGACGATTGGCAAGCTCCTGGTGCCTGGGCGGGTGAAACAATTATATAGGTTTTCTGATTTGAAAGCTTCTCACAGGCAGAAAGAAATTTTCTCTGTGTTCCACCCATGTGATCCCAATGTAACTAGAATGCTTTTGCCAAGGACAGTCTCGATCCAGACAACGTCGCCCAGCAGCACACCGGGCAGCAGGAGAGCACTTCAAAGAAGTGTGTCTCATTGACTCACTCCGGGCGCATCGGTTCAAAGTGCCCTAGGCAGATGGCCCTTTCTGGGCCGTGTCCCATGGCAATGAATTCTTGCAGCCATGGCAGCATCTCGGCCGATTTTGCACATTGATTTTTAATGTCCCTTCTGTAACATATCACCAGAAACATGTCGATGCGCATTCCTTTGATGGTCTGTCTTTTTCCCATTCGGGCTTTTGTTGGAATCTTTTTCTAACTCAGGCGCTCAATCTCCCGCATCCGGTGCATCGACCAGGAAAAGGATGGCCAGTACATTCTTGCATACCAGAAGCACTTCGTGGCGTTTCGGGTTTTGGAGGGCGATGCCGCGATCAATTTTGGCCACAGATCCCACACGTGGCAGAAGTGCGGGCTAAGGAGCAATTTTTCAGGCCCTGTGGGATTCGCGCCTGATGAAGGTACTTATGTGGTCAATGAATGGCGTCTGGATGGAATTTTCCAAATCTCGCCCGAAGGCCACACTCCGCACACCTCGTTTGAAGATCTGGACGGTGGCTCTTCCAAATTGGTGTTCACTTCGCCTCTCACAGGTGATGTCCTCACCAGCGGCGAGTTCCCCACCTCCGCCCTTTTTGGATGCGATGTGCGAGACTTTTGCTCGCAGGCTCTAGGCCATCCGCCTTTCGCCATCACCTTTGTCCATGGGGGAAGCGTAGTGGCGCAAGATGCTGCGGTTGAGAGTGTGGCTGGGCATGTTGGTCTCATTTTGCGCCCAATCAAAACCGCCTGGAACAGAAAGCTCTTGCGCGCAATCCAAGCAGATGATGCTGAAGTTGCTCAAGACTGTCTTTGTAATGGGCAGGACCCCGACACTTCATTCCCCAATGGCTTCACGGCATTGGCATACAGCGCCAACCACGCTGCCAAAAGCAAGCCCAAACATGCGCGGCTTGAATGGTAACACTGCCTTGCACCATGCAGTGTACACAGGGCACATGAAGGCGGTTCAGCTGCTTTTACAGTATGGAGCAAAAGCAGGCGCGCTGGATGCCGGAGGGACGAGTTGTGCGCATTGGGCATCGCAGGCACAGGGCTTCGCAGGTCCAGTCATGCTGACATGTCTTGCGGAAGCAAATGCAGACTTGCATCTGCAAGATAAAGATCTGGACACCCCATTTGCTTTGGCCAGCTCTGCAAGCAGCAATCTGTCTGTGATCATGACTGCAGTGTGGGACCGTCTTCGCTGGCTAGACTTGCTCGTGCGACACGAATACTCTTTGGCCGGCTTCGTGAACACGAAGCATCTGCAACTTGCATGCAGAACCACAACCAGGAGATTTTCCTGGAGCTGGGCTACATCCACTCCACCTGGTGCAAGTGTAGATGTTTTTGGAGGTTCGTCGTCCACGAATATCGCAAATACCACACCTGGGGACAGGCTAGGAGGTGCAGATGCTCCCGCAGACACAGAGACAGTCAGCGCGTTGCAGGGGCCAATCATCAGAGGCATGAAGTATGCATATTTCAGGTTTTTCGTGGCACCTCTCGTCCCAACGTTGAATGCCCACCCGCACTTGAATTCGGTGCTTCCGAGCCCTCTCAACACAAGTGATGACAAGTGTGGTGCGCAGGCCTTCTTGCAACAACTTTTGCACATCACCTTTGTGATTGCAACAGTGCACAACAAGGATTCCACTGGATTTTACAATGCTCTCTCCACCATGTTCGACCGCGTGCTCAAGACACACCCTTCGATTCGTGAGTACATATTTTCTTGCCCTTCCCTTCGCACATCTTCTGGACAGAAGGGAGCAGCCCGTCGTATTCAACTACTATTCCTGTTGTCTTTGCCTTTGCCATTGTCTCCTGCAGCTTTGCTTAAGCAGAATGAGCGGTCGGACAAACCGTTGCAAGACATTTCCATTGAAGTGCAGCATCGGGTGTCTTTGTTCGAAGGCCTTTGCTGTGATTACAAAGCCTTGCTGTGTCTGCGTCCTGGTTTGTGGTGTGTCATACCGAACCCATTCTCATTCTTGGACGCGGATTCTCAGTGGGAAGCTGCTCTCCGCAAAGCCAGAGCAACTTTTTCTACCATATCTGCATTCTTGTCGCATCAGCTTCCTACTCCAGATGCAAACGCATTGGCCAGAGCAGACAAGCGGTTGAAGGTCTATATTGGCTACATGCGAAAACACATGGTCAACATTTTAAAGGAGCCGCAGTCCGCACACCAGGTCCTCAATCCATGCGACAGCTCCATTCCAAAACGGGCTTGGGAAGTCAATCTCACAACAATGCGCCAGCGTTGGTCATGTTCAGAATGTGCTGAAATGACTGACACCAAGGAAGATGATGTGATTGGTGGAAGTAACATCTGTGAGCAGCAGCAGAACGATGAGCTTTCCTCAGGGCAGGCCTATGATATGTCAGATTCAGCTGCTCTCCTTCGGCATGCTTACATGTTTGGCAGGCCCCTCCAAACTACACAGGAGGCTGCCTGTGTTTCGTCCCGACTTCGAGACTTCTACGCAGCCATGCGGCCTTTGTCAGGAACGTTGCAGCAATTCCCATCTACGTTTTGGATTCTGCCTATCCCTTTCCACACAGACGAAAAGGAGACAGATTGGCAAATCAGGTTGGAATGCTGTGCTCTTTTCCTTTGGTTGATCCGTGATTCCAAAGCAAGTCATTTAGAAGCTTTGCTGATCACGTTTTACTGGCCTGAAATTCAAGCAAATCCAGCATTGCTGGATGTGGTCAGTACTTCAATTCTGTCTGTCAGCCTCCGCAACAGAATCAAGAAGCTGGTGTTTGCTTGGCTCTCACTGCACACCCTCAGCAGCAACCTATCATCGCAGCCCGAAAGACACATCCCAACTTCAATGCCTAGAGACTTGGTATACAGATACGTTCGTGTGTACCGGGCACTGAGAGACATCCGTCCTTTCAAGAAGCATGACAAGAGGACGAGATACATTGCCGCTCTAGGCGATATTTGTGGTGGGGCTTGGCATGATGTCACGGCTGCGTCTGCTGTGACAGGTGAAGCCTTGTTCCCTGTCTCCTGCGAACTCGCAGAGGCCCACAGCTTCCTGGATCTAGTTCGGGTGCAAGCTGCCGCTGTATTCTCTGCGCCGTACTTTTGTTTTGATGTCTTGCGCGGAGACAGCCTTCTTGATGATCAACATACTTGGGCAGATCTTGGCTACCCCAATCTGGTTCACTTGGTGGTGAAGCCAAAAGTTTTGGATTGGACGGAGAACTTGTCTGATGCGATTGAAGATGGAAATGTTCAAGACGTCCAGAAATTCTTGAAGATGGGGCAAGATCCGGATTGCACCATGATGGATTCAGCCCTCTGCGCAGCAGCAGAAAGGAACCACTATCCTATAGTGGAATTGCTGATTCGGGCTGGGGCCAATGTCAACTACATTCCCATGGGCCGCCCAGGGCCATTGCAGACTGCAGTCATTTCGGATGCAGAAGGGTGTGCCACCCTGCTCTTGCGCAGTCACGCAAACCCGAATTTGTGTGATGGTACTGCGGCAGCAAACACGCCTTTGCATCTAGCCGCTGTCTACGGAGATGCGGCCTTCACCCACATCCTCCTTTCACACGGCGCAGGCCCAATGCTGCCAAACGCACACGGGTCATCTCCAGTTGCATTGGCTACACCCGGCATCGTAGTGGCGCTATGTCTGGCCGAATGTTCTGCAGATGAGGTCGATCCTGCAACCTTCCTGGTGCGACATGTTTCGATCTTGGCCACTATGGGGTGCCCTGCCAGTTTTTGGGCAACGTGTAAAGTATTGAGCAATCATCGCCAAAATCCACATTCTGACCTTGAAGGTGGCAGCTCGATTTCTGCCAGCCGTTCCCAGGCCATAGACTCTACGCGTTGGGTGCGTCTTTGCCTCAACAGAGCGAAAGCTTTGGAAAAAAAGCGGAAAGCGCCGGAAGAGTTTACACATCATGACCTGGAAAGGCTAATGTCCAGAGGTCTGACACCTGTTGAGATCGACGCCATCTCAACAAGAAGACGTGATGCCGTCAGAAGGCGCACTTGGCATCAGTTGTGGGAAAAATCAATGCCAACTTCCCTCCAACAATGATTTGACCAAGAAGTCTGTAAGGGAATCCGGTTGCCTTTGGCAGCCGATGGATGGATTCCCACTGACTTGGGGCCTATGCCAACCGATTTTTTGTCCACAGGCGAATTGGGTGAAAGCCCATGCTTTGATCTTCTTAAGCTAAGCAACCCACACGCACGAGATGCCCGCTTGAAGTTCGATGAGCTGTCGCACACATACTATGTGGATGGAAGCCCCTTGGACGTCTCTGTCGCTGGATTCATAGCAGCATTTCAACAGCCATTCGATGCCGAAACCGTGATTTCCCGCATGCAGCAAAAGTCTTGGCCTCGGCCAGAGTACCTCACTTTCACCCACATGCGCAAGGCTGTGGAGTTTGCGAAGGGGGTGCCGGAGCTTTGGCCTCTCCTGTCTTTGTTGCAAGCCCAGCCAGTCAACACATTGTCCCTTTGCCGCCTCTTGCAGCAAGCCCCTGAAAACAAAGCCTTCGGCGCGATGAGATACCTTCTCACCATGACCCCTGCTGAAATCCAGGCTCATTGGAAACAAAATGGTGCAGTTGCATCCCGCCTAGGCACTTGGGCGCATTTACAATGCGAGTGCGTGCTCAATGCAGGTCAAGTTGCAAACCCTGGCTCTGAGATGGTTTGCTTGGCGAACTTTCTGCAATCTTCTGAACGGCTGATAGCGCACAGGACAGAATGGAGCATTTGGGCTAGCGATGAAAAGCTTGCCGGTACCATCGACTTTTGCGCCACAGACTCTGCCGGTTGCCTTGTGTTGGTCGATTGGAAGCGATCCAAGAATTTGAAGAACAAATATCTTCTGTCTTGCAAAAGCATGAAGGGAGAATTGTCTCACATTCCAGATGCCATTGGCTGGAAATACAGACTCCAACTGAACGTCTACAAGTACATCATAGAAAAGTATTATGGCTTCACCGTGAGTCGCATGTTTGTGGTCGACATTCATCCTGACGCCGCAGAAGAGCCATTTGTGGACCTAGTTCCGAACATGCAAGCTGAAGTTCAATCAATCCTAGCGACTAGAATTGATGACAATGAGGCGTCCCTTCTAGAACCTATGTTGGACATTGAGGGTGGGTCAACAGGCGCCAGTCAAGAAACTTTCCAAGAAATGGAAACTGAAGAAGATGCTGCCTTGGCCGCGGCCATTGCGAACCCAGAAGCTGAAGAAGAAAGAAGAGAAGTACAAGTCAAGCGTGAGCGCGAAGATGCTTGCCCAATTCCACGAAGTGATGGCCGAGAAGTTCCAGAGTCACAGGCAGTCGAGCAGGACTGCAAAGACGAAATGCAAGAGGACCTGGGAGAGGAAATCATTGATGGTGAAACAATTGCAAAGATCAAGCGAAGGCGTCTTTTGAGGGGGGCGTTCACTTCTGCTTCAGATTTCCAGGATTTGCTGCAGGGCTACCAAGACATAGCTGGAAGGGAGCTGATCAATCTGAACCGTGATTGTGCCACTTCGGAGCATTCCACCCTTGAAAGAAGCCATTCGCTTCGGGCGATGGTCCGTGCCCAAAAGCCAACATGGAGCGATGACATGGTTCGAATCGGGGCTGCAATGGTAGCGGTGAGCAATATGCGCTTGTCCGACCGCATGTTTGTTGGCGACTCCGCTTTCTTGCTTTGGATGATCGAAGGCAATTCTACAATACGAGTTCATTCTGGTTTCTGCTATATTTATAATGATGATGGCGCCTTTCTGCCGTACAGCGGCACTCCGCCAGAGGCTATTCTCTCTCGAGTGAGTCTGTTCTGTACCATACTGGAAGGCGCATTCAGAAGGTTGCCTCAGTATGTGTCGCTAGCCTTGAATGCAACAGTTTTTCTTGTTTTGAATCTGAATGAAGCGTGGTATGAGAATTTTGTCAGGTTATAAACACTTGTCTAGGATTCTTGTTGTTCGAAATTTGATGTTCATGGCTGAGGCAACGGAAAGATGCGGACATCATCCGGGCTTTGGCGACAGACAGAGATTCTTTCTTTTCTGACAAAGAGTTCTTTATCACTTGCCGGAATGCAGCTCTACAAGGTCCAAGCAAACAAGCTCCAGAGATTGAACTGGACCACGAAGCCTTTGAGGCGGACGCAGAAGGCGCAGATGAAGCAGTCGCTGCAGGTGCTGCAGCTTCCGAAGCTTGGACAGCTAATGTGGCAAAACGTCTGTGGCGCATGTGCAATTCCTTGAGATCAGAGCTCATGCATGAGAGAATGATCAGTCTTCTTGTCGAATGGTGCGAAACACCTCGTGCAGAGTCATCTTGTGTGGCCTACAAAGACACTTGCGTGGAATTCCTGGCAGACTCAGAAGACAGGATTTTGCGTCATGTGCAGAAGTCGCCTGCAAACAACTGCTACTTGTACATTCCGCACAACTTGCTGGACCCTGTGATGGAAGCAAATTGCACTAAACTTTGCAAGTTCTATTCCCGCACATTTTGGGCAAACAAGGATGTGTTTCTATGTTGCCAAGCTGCCTTGGCTTTGGCAAAGCGAGGCATTAATGTCGATCGCTGCTTCATTGGAGAATCACCCGGTGGTGTTGGCCAATCCCTATATTCTTTGCACCTCGCGACAATGTTGGGCAATAACCATGGATTTTTCGACCCTAACGTCTGGTACAACGAAGACGAGCTTCGAAAACAAGTGGAAACATTTGCCCGGTGCATAGTCATCACAGGTCAAGAAGCTCCCGAAAGCGCGAAGAAACTGCACCTTGATCTCTTCAAAAAGACAATGTCTGGAGATGGCATTGCTGGTCGCAAGCCTTACGGCTATACTACGAAGATGTTCCAGCTCATTGGTTGGAAGAGATTGGAAGTCAATCGGATGCTGAGGTTTGCTGGAGTTACGCCTTCCAATTTCAATTCCGTCTTTAGAAGAGGTTTCTTTTGGCAAGCAAAAGCGCGCTTTCATCCACCACATGTGATTGCCACGCTGCATGCTGACCATGAACTGGACGGGCATTTTGAGGCGGATCCGACCCTCAAGCAATTTCTTTCAAGCGCGCCGTCTGCTGCAGCGGGCTTGAGGATTCAACACGCATTTGAATCTAACACAGGCAGACAGGAATGCATGGACCTCATTGAGAATTACGTGTCTGGTGGAGATGAGTCTTTAACTGAAGACAAGATGCGGGTCGCTTGCGGCTTGCCAGTCAGAGACCGAAGCAAAGATACCGGCAGAGCAGGCGCTGTGATGCTCCATATCCCAGATTCGGAAGAAGACAAAGATTGCGAAGAAAAACAATGGTTGCAGTTAAGGAGTATCTTGGTCAACGACTTGTTGGATCGATGTGTCACCTCCGTGACAGCCTACGAGTTCCAACAGATGAAATTAGAAAGCAATCAAGTTCCCAACCTCGCACGACAAGATTTGTGGAAAGGTTTGCTTGACCGAAAATTTGTGGTTAAAGGTTGCTCGCGCAATACCCGTGGAAGGGCCAGCGTGCAAGTGCAGCCAATCCTTGTGCCAGAAAAGGATTTCTTTGAAGTCGTGAAGGCCAGAAAGGCCGATGAAACACAATTATTTGTGGAAAGTGTCAACTTGAAAGCTGCGCGAGCAATGGCGGAAAAAAATCGCGGCCTCCACAATCTGGACACCTTGCTCGCGTTCTTCCAAGCCAAGGTAAAAGCTTTCAAGCCAAAAAGAGGTCGTCCTACTGGCCAAGCAGAAAAAGAGATACTAAAATTTGAAAAGTTCGCCCAAAAAGTTGAGGAGCAAAAAAGTGCTTGCAAAGCATTGACAAAGCTGGGACTCCATGATGCTGTTGCTCCATCTCCCGAAAGGAGGCGCTTGAAGAAGACAGAACCGCGCGTGGAGCGCCATGTGACGTATCGCTATGCGGGAGAACGCGACACGCGGGACAGAAGATACGCAAATGGTTTTGCTGCACAAACTTGCAGCCGACGATTGCAACGGTACTTGTTTCCACACACGGCTGATCTTGACATTCAGACCTGTTGCCTGGCAATTCTTGTGCAGTTGTATGAAAAGATCGCGCCCCAGCCTCCTCTACCAGATGGGGTGCTTAACTTCTTGCTTCGATGCGTAAGCAACAGAAAGGATGTTTGCGAGAAAGAATTGAAAGTGTCTGCTTCGGATGGGAAGCAGATCATCAACTCAGTCTTGCACGGAGGCGCTCTTCCTGCTGAGGTAAAAGAACGCGAGTCTGGTAAAGCCCTCCTCCGACTATCGATCTACATGCGCTGGCTTGCTTGCTCGATTTTCTCTGAAGAATTCAACGACCTGTGCCAGGACACTAGCAAACGCAATCCAGATGCAACAGCGTTCTTTTACTTGTGGACAACCGTTGAAGATTGGATTGTGGAATCATGGGTTTCTAAGCTTCAGACCCTCTCGCCTGAGCATTTATCATTGCATTTTCATGGTGTGCGGTTGGCTGTAGACATGACAGCATGGGCCAATAATCAGCAGCAATTTCTCGAAGATTGTGAGCGACACATTCACAAAGAGACCGGCTTCAAGGTGACCACCGTGGAGAAAAAGCATCTTTCCCTCCTTCAACTTGTGCAATCTTCTGCGCGCCAGACGGACATCGTGGAGAATGTCCCAGGGTCATTACTGCAGCCAAGCAATTCCATCTCTTGCGCGTGCTGGCACCTTCTCAGCGACCGTCAAGAGGAAGTGACTAATTCTCTGTCAACTTCTTCCCAAACAAATTCGTACGCTGAAGACAGAGGGCTTCGCAGCTACAAGCAATATGCAGAGATGCTTGCGCTGAAGCTTCTTCCGAGCCACGGCTTGCCGCCCTGCCAAGATGGAAAATATCTGCTTCACCTGGAATCTGACTGCTTTCCTTCGTGCGTGGCCGTTAGCGTGGATCAGACGTGTAACGACGTGACAATCTTTGCAGGCAAGCAGCGGCATTGCTTGAGCTATCAGGAGCTTCTGAATTTGCATCTCCTCTGCACTGATCGCCTCTTGGTCGCCCACTTTGCTCTCGGCATGGCTGAGGCAGATGCGAAGGACGCTGCTCATCAACTGCTGGACTTAGAGGCTGGAAGTTCGGATAGCGAAGACCAGCTTCCTGAAGCCCAATATTTGGTTGATGACGAAGGAGCCGTCTATTTTGCAGACGCTATCCTGACATCGCTGGAGGAAGAGAGAAATTCTTTCCAGCAAACTGTGAAATACAGTCAAGGACGACGCTGCGAAGGTCTGCGCGCTTGTGCCCTGTGTCCGTTCAGAGCTTTTACAGAGAGGCGGAAGCTTTTGAAACATCTTCAGTCACATCATTCGGCTAAGAATCAGTTTGTTTGTTCGGGCACAAAGCAAATTAAAATCATTTTGTCGCTGCATGATGCGGACTGTGCCCGGCGAAACATGCAATTCTCATACCTGCAACGCAGCGCTGAGTATATTCGTGCGCAAGTGCGCCCACCGCTCTCTCACAAGCGGAATCAAGTGGATCGCCATGTGCGGCTGTTGCTCACGGCAGCCGGACCAATGTACTGCAATGAAACCGCGTTGGGCGTCACTGTCTTTGCCCGCAGAGTTCGCAATGTATACTATGACAAAACTTTTGCGGAGATGCTGTACCGGGAGCTCGTGTTGCATCATGCGAATGTCAAAAGCGTTTGGGGCCGACTGCACCTTCGATGCATTGAGGCTGGAAACGAGCTCAGCAATTTGCTTCCTACGCACACGCGACACTGGTGGCCAATAGTGGAAGATGTTTTTACATCCACGGCTGTCCGCAACTTGTTGGCCAGTCTTCAGCTAACTTTTGAAGCTGCCTCTGAATACACGTGCATTTCCATTGATGCGACGTTGAAGGTGGCCATGTGCATTAAAGGCCAAGGCAATTACAGAGCCAGTGCAGCAGTCCGAAATGATGCTTGCTTCGGCGATGATGAGGCACTGAGGAGAGTGTTGACAGTGAGGGGTCAAACAGGGGCAGTGCTTGCAATCCAGCTGATCAAAGGAGAAGATGCCAATGAAATAGGCCTTTGCTTGCAGCGATCACTTTCAACTTCAAGCCGTTTGCAAGTACGGTACGTGATGAGCGACTCACCGTCCGTCAAGCTTTTGGAGGCTCTCCAGCCAGTGTTTCCAAACTTGAAAGGTTTGGCGTTGGACCCCGTGCACTTAGCAATTGTGTATGAGTATGCGCAGTGGCGCAAACGTACTCCAGGATCCAAACTGCTCAGGCAGTTGTTGAACAAGGTTGTCCAACATGACCCGCAGCGAGGAATGCTGTCTTGGGGCCCCTTGTTCGACGGAGAGGAGTGGTGCCCTCTTACAAGGCAAGAAGACAAATGGAGAGGCCAAATCTTGAACTGGACACAGTCCAAGGCTTACGCGCAACGCGTGGTAGACAACCTAGATCCTACTCTCCCAGTGCTGACGCGCGTCAGTTTCATTGAGGCAGTTGCAGCCATTTGCGTTTTGCACAGCAAGGAGGTAGATCGGAAGGTCACGGGAACGTCTAAGCCTGTGCGGGATGTCTTGTGGAGCGCTTGCTCACCACAACGCCTGGAATGGTTATTCAACAACCAAAGAGTTCGCCATGGGTTTCGCCCTTGCAACGCGCACTTTTGCCTTCCGGCACCACATCAAACGAAGCGCTTCACAGCGAAATCAACTCATGGACGCGCTCCACCCATGAAGTCCACCGCGCCACATTGAAGTTGAAGCTCCAAATTTTCTCGCTTGGCAAGCAGCTCGTGCACCACATAGCTACGTGCTACCCCCCTGCGCGACAGACCAGCGACAATGTTCTTCTGGCTCGCTGTTTGGGGGCGAATCTTTGGAGCGATGCTGAGTGGCAAGATTCAGCTTCAATGGAAACTTGGCTGCAAATTATCAATGCCAGACATGTTTCGAGTCAATTCTTGCTCCGTTAACTTTTGGTCTGTACTTTGATGCCAAGGACAAAGCAGACTTGCCTCTGCATTCTGAGCGGGTGGAAGAAGTAAGGCGCGTAAAAGAATGGATGTCCACAAATTCATGTGAACAAAAGCTGCGGAAGCGAAAGCGCACTCCGCTCACAGTGCCTCGCAAACACAGTTTGCGCCGCGGAGGTGTGAAGACAACTCCTTCTGCGTAGGATCATGGCACAGACCCAAAAATCAGATCGAAAAAGCTTGTCCTGCTCTTTCTATGCTTCATGAATGAGAAAAACCATGACACCAAAATATGTGCATCTTGCAAGCAAATCCTGATCCTTCATCGCATTATGCCTGAATGTGAATGTGGAAACCGAATGACATCTAAGGCCACTTTGCCCTCATATACGCACTGCGGCTATGTTGTCTGGAGCCTAAATGCCTACATGCTTCAATGCTTCATGTTGAGCATTGTGTCGGCGTCAGTCACAGTTGCCATCTCTTGCCAAATCACACAATGCATAATATGCATATAGCGTACGCTCATTATTCATTCCTTTGCCTAGCACCGGTGAATATGATTAACCTGAATGTCGAACATGCTGTATGAAGAAAGCAAACACTCCGCTTCATCAGCCTGACGCGCGCTGGCAGCAGCGCTCAACATCTTGATCATACGCTGTTGGGTAGCACCGTGTCGAACTTGATTTCTGGTGCGTTAGCCTTTTGAGCATCAAGGCTTGAAAGGTTAAAATGCAGATCCTGACTTTATGGACGATGGAATTGCAAGGTGCAGACCGAGGCACACAAACACAAACTAAAGGCACTAATCCAACAAAAATGCGCGTGCGGTGCACACCGTTGAGGACTTGTAGGTGGGTTCTGATACAGCCCTTGCTCGCTTGTTGGCAAACATCGTTGCATCACAGAATTTAGGAAAGCGCAAGGTGCAGACCAAGGCACCAACCTAAAGGCTTGTGCGCGTGCAGTGCACACCATTCAGGACTTGTAGGTGGGTTCTGATACAGCCCTTGCTCGCTTGTTGGCAAACATCGTTGCATCACAAAATTTAGGAAAGTGCAAAGTGCAGACCAAGGCACCGAAATTAAAGCAATGAAAGACAAGCTGCACGTGCATTGCGCACCGTTGAAGACCTGTAGGTGTGTTCTGATACAGCCTGCTTCGCTTGTCGGTAAACAACGTTTAAATTTTGGGAAGGCCTTGGTTGTTGTTGAGAATTGTGCCAAGCCTGTGCTTCACAACATGCACATGTCATTGGCAATATATAGAAATTCTCAAAGCCCGTCATTCTATACGTAAAGGTCCCTTCCACATATATATATATATGTATATACACAATATATTTGCAGAATCAAAACCATGGTTCAATCAATTCATATGTGCATATACAGACATATGTATATGATCGAAGGAAGCTTAGAGGTCAAACTTCCGACAATATGGACAGATGGAAAAGCAGAGGTGGAAAGAGTCAGAGAAGAGAAGAAAAGAAAGAAGATCAGAGAAGAGAAAGAGTCAGAGGAAAGAAGATGCAGGTGAGCGAAAAGGTAGAAAAGTCGCGATTCATTGTGTTTTTCCAATGATTTGTGGCTCCGGAGAGTCGAAAAGTAGGCTCGCTAAAGCGGCGGGTGCGGAGCCACCTGGCCAGATGAGAGAAGAAAATTGCACGCCGTTGTGGCGCGAAGCACATTTCGAAGTCAACATGTTAAAAACGCCACATGCTCGGACCATTTTTGCACGTTGAGATGTTGAAAAAGTGCACGCAGTTGTGGCGCGAAGCACGTTTCGAAGTCAAAATGTGAAAATCACACCAGGTTCGGAGCACTTTTGGAACTTGAGATGTTGAAAAAGTGCACGCCGTTGTGGCGCGAAGCACATTTCCAAGTCAACATGTACAAAACACCTCAGTATCGGACGACTTTTGGAAGTTGCGATGTCGAAAAAGTGCACGCCGTTGTGGTGCGAAGCACATTTCCAAGTCAAAATGTACAAAACACACCATTCTCGGACCACTTTTGGAAGTTGAGATGTCGAAAAAGTGCACGCCGTTGTGGCACGAAGCACATTTCGAAGTCAAAATGTGAAAAGCACACCACGTTCGGACCACGTTTGGACGTTCCATCGCGCGACAGCACACAACAACGACAACGACAACCACAACCACAACCACAACAACGACAACAACCACCACAACAACCACAACAACAACAACAACAACAACTAGTAGTAGTAGTAGGAGTAGTAGTACTAGTACTAGTACTAGTAACTCCTCCTTCTTCTACTACTACAACTGCAACTACAACAACTACAACTAGGACTACAAATACCACTACACTACACTACTACAGCTTTAGCTAGAACTACAACAACTACAACAACTACAGCAACTACAGCAACTACAACAACTACAACAACAACAACTATTACTACAACAGCTACAACAACTACAACAACTACAACAGCTACAACAACTACAACGACAACTCCACTACACTACACTACACTACCCTCCACATCGCCACACTACACTACCACTACCACTACCACTACCACTACCACTACCACTACCACTACCACTACCACTACCACTACCACTACACCACAGTACAAGCACAAGCACAAGCACAACTGCAACTGCAACTGCAACTACAACTACAACTACAACTACACCTACACCTACACCTACACCTACACCTACACCTACACCTACACCTACACCTACACCTACACCTACACCTACACCTACACCTACACCTACACCTACACCTACACCTACACCTACACCTACACCACCACCTCCTCCACCACCACCACCACCTCCACCACCTCCACCTCCACCACCACCACCACCACCTCCACCTCCACCTCCCCTCCACCACCACCACCACCACCTCCTCCTCCTCCTCCACCTCCACCTTCGCCTCCACCTCCACCTTCACCTCCACCTCCTCCACCTCCTCTCCTCACCCTCCTCCACCTCCTCCACCACCTCCACCACCTCCACCACCTCCACCACCTCCACCACCTCCACCTCCACCCCCACCTCCCTCCACCTCCACCTCCACCTCCAATCCCATCTGTGACTTGGGGTTCACCACCGTATGGCATGGCAGCAATCCACAAGAACTGGTAAGAACGAAACGTGCATTCATTTTCTTGGCCATGAGAAATAGTATTTTGAAAATTACATACTATGTGTACGCAGACTGTGCTGGAGATACGTATGTTATCATATATGTCATTTGCTATATATATTTTCAATGTTTTGTCAAGATTGTTCTTAAAGGTAAGGACCTATTTTTCATGTTGAGTCTTTTGCTTCATTATCCTTGGGGAGTGCAGAAGAAGCTGAGGCTTCACATTACCAGCTAGTTCGAGGGAGTGTTGCCAGTATTTTCTCTGCTGCACCGCTTCGTCGAAACCAAGAGCACTGAAGTTATCATTTTAGTTTTTGATCCCTGCTGTTGTGGAAGCGGCTGAAGGTCACTTGCCACATCTTGCCACGGTGTTCACTCATTCCGAGGTTTGTGAAACACTTTGAAACTATAGATGGTATTTTCTTTGTAGTTACATATTAGGACAAACCACTGGATCTTAGGGACTCTTTGGGTACCCTAGTCTTGCTGAAAGACAGTTGTTGGCGTGGTGGTGGTGGTGGTGGTGTGTGTGGTGGTCATGGCAACCAAGGATCATTTCCATGGCTGGCAAGGACGGAGATGGTGTGATGTGGAAGAAAGAGCTGCATGAGGCAAAGGAGGCAAAGGCGGGAGTCGCTGGTCGTTGACGCAGTACAGAACAGTGTTGCAATTGTCCAAGTCGATCATTCTAGTATTGAAACCCATTGTGACTTGGAGATCCCATCTGTGACTTGGGGTTCACCACCGTATGGCATGGCAGCAATCCACAAGAACTGGTAAGGAACGAAACGTGCATTCATTTTCTTGGCCATGAGAAATAGTATTTTGAAAATTACATACTATGTGTACGCAGACTGTGCTGGAGATACGTATGTTATCATATATGTATATATATATATATATGTCATTTGGTATTACGGTATATCGTTTATTTGCTGAAGATTGTTGTTTAAAATCAAATTTCCCGCAACATTTTTCGGACCCAAACGGAACTCGTGGCTGTTGAGTGTGTTTTGATCTTCAATCCGAGTAACAATCTTACCAGTTCTGCAACTGGATTTGTTGTAGATAACTTAGATAACCAGTTACTCTAAGATGGTAAAGTTGAACGAATGCAACAGTATGAACGAATAGGTGGGCAGGTGAATTTGCTAAAGTTGGCCGAAATCGCGTCCTGCTTGTGTGATACCCATTTATGGTGATTTTGGGGATGTTTTACTATTGCTTGAACCACAATTACCATGAGCCAATGGTATGGAGATTCTCCACTGCAAAGTTGGACTTCGGCAGGCAGTGGCACTCAAAGAGGCCCGCGTGGCATCTTTGAACTAGGACATGCTGGACCGGTTGGACCGGTTGATGAAGGGGTTGGGCCACAGCATGAGGGTTTTAACCAAGAAAAATGAGGACAAAAACATGCTAAACACCAAAGAATGTCATTAAAATCGATAACTTGGATAACCAATTATTTTCTTATAACCAACCTGGATAGGATCCCACTTTCAGGGCATCAACCAATCAAGAAGTGGTAGGGGACCCTCGCTGATTTCAGCAATGATCGGTACCTGATCTTAGCACGTTTTGATTGATGTCAACCCCGGATTAATGAACCCCTGTTTGAAAAAATAGTAGCCCAAAACAAGATCAATTGCTACTGACATTGTATATACCTCCCAGCTAAACAAGCAGGGGTTATTCTTGTCTATGGAGGGCGACATTCCTCGTAGGGACACTCCTAGAACATTCCTTTTCATTGATTTTAGCTTCCAATAATTCACTTTCATTCCAAATAAAAGGGAGCGAAAATAAAACAACAATCCAATAATTAGTTCCAAGCAATGACTTTCTACTCCAAATAGTTTGTTTTCATCAATACTTGTGAGCATCACTGCATCACTGGTGAGGCAGCTGCCGCGCCATTCCTGCCATTCTTGGCTGCCACTCGTTTGAGCAAGGAACAGCACTCGTTTCATGGGAAACGTGATGCAGTGGATACGACCCATGGGAAATCCCCGAACAAAATGGGCATGAAATGGGAAATTAAACTATGATTATACATGATT